TTATATATAATGTATCTATAAACTAAATCTAATATGCATATTAATGTGTTTTCGGGGCAACATGTAATGACAAAATAAGTGTAATGATGGGAGTAATAATTGACAAGATTTTCATAATAATATTTCATAGGAATATTGAAATATAATTTATTTCCCTATTCATTTGTTGTGTCTCCCAAAATGTGTAATAAACATGCTTTTAGTCCTGGTGTCCTCATATGAGGACATGTATGAAATCAATGTCCTGTTTCGTAACAGAAAGTCATATTTTGATTTGAAACCCCATAACATTTTCCTGAGATGTTGATTTATGACACACAGTTTAAAAATTAGTCCGATTTAAATGATAACTACAAAATATCATATTTCCATAAGAGTGTCACTAAATTAATATCATACATTTTTGAAGACCAAGGTGAGGGAGTGGTCATGGTGAAACATCCAAACATTTAGTATCTCTGAAAAGCCCTGAATGTGCTCTGTACAGGACATCCAGACTTAAAACTGTGGCATGTATAGTCTCAGAGAAATTCACTAAAATATAATGTCCTCATATGAGAATGCAGGGTCTCAGGAGGTTAAGAGAAGGTCTGCATGTGCTGAATACAGTCTCACTTCAGTGAGGAAGACAGATAAACCGTTAGATCTTGTTCAAATAAATCACACTTAAGAAGCAGACACGTAAAGTCGGCTTCCCTTATCTAATCTGTGCAGCTTCCTTTACTTTAATGTATTACTTCCAGATCCTCCTTCATCAGAACATAAAGTGAAGACAAAAGAATATTTCAGCTTTTTCACCACATTTTCAGATGTGCACAGCCAGGCAAAAATGGGTAAGACTGGAATGCGAGTGAGTTTTTTTTTTTTTTTTGTCGTTTTGTGATGGGAAGCTATAGTCAGCAAGCATTATCTGCTTCAAAACAGCCCTTAGTCCCAATGGGTTTCAGTGTTTTAAATATTTGAGGTTTGCTCTGTGTTTGAACCTCCAATTGGCCCAGAAAATGTAAACAAGGCAAAAATATTCAATGTAGACAGGAGTTTGGAGTCGGTAGGATTATGCTCATCAAGGCTGCATATATGCTGAAAACAGTTACTGCTTAATATTTTTGTGACAACTGATACATCTTTTTTTTTCTTCAGAAAAAAAAAATTTTTTGAAATATAAATCTTTTGTAACATTATAAATGACTTTACTGTCATGTTTGATAAATCCTTGCTGAATAAAAGTATGATTTTTTTCTAAAACAACAAACTTTTGAATGGCAGTGTATAAGGAAATAGAAAGTGAATAGTACACAACTGAAAGGAAACAACAAGCAAGGAAGTTAAGAATGTATGTTTGACAACTAAACACACTACAGTATCACTCCGTTTGAGTCTTTGGCTTGTTTTTCAATTCTGCGGTTCAACTAAATCTGATATCTCATTACCTCATTATATCTCTCACTTTGCATTCAATGCTCTGATCAGCTGACCATAAAAGATCACATTTCATTTCAAAATGGTTTAATCATGTACCCACTACATTCACTGAAATCAGTGTAACAACTCTCAATTCTGTCAGCAGACACTACAATTATGATGACAAATTCCAGTACGCAGAATTGCCATCTGAAGACACCTCAGTCACAGCTGACACCTCAGCATTTGAGTAGCGCTCAGTGGTCACAGTTCCGGCTTAAATAAAGTAAATATGAATAGAGTAATGAAATGGATCAAAACATTCTCTTCCAAACTAATCCAATGCCAGTCACTGCACAACTCTGAAATTCTTGTCAAGTGACGCATGTTCTGGGCAAAATCAGTTAAGTTACTTCACTTTACCCAACCCTCTACGCACACCTTGGCAATATAAACGTGAATTATTGTGGAGTGAGATGACACGAAGGCTCTATCACTTCAACTCCGAAATCAGAGCACATTTGAATTAATTAATCAAAACCGAGACTAAATATGTCGGTTTACGATCCTGGCTTTTATCTTTTAAACGGTCCAGATTGATAAATCCTTGAAAACTGCTAGACTTGATTAG